CCTCCTGGCTCCTGGCCCCAGAGTACTAAGGTGCTTTTCCTACACCTTGCCCACATCTGTGTAAGTAGTCCTTTTATTAACTGCCCTCAGTTGCCCAGCTTGAGGTGCCCCCGTTTCCTGCTGCAGCCATGCCTGATCCATAGCAGATCCCATCTGGGGTCTGTGAGCTTCATGTCTGTGCTAGCTGGACCTTCGCAGGCTCTAGGCCCCTCCTTGGTCCTTAAGAAAAGCAAGGTCCTTTCTAATGGGATTTCAGAAGAACTTTCAAATGAAGTCCAATATGGCCTCCCCATGACTATTTGATACCCAATCTCTTTCCTGGATCTTACACCAAAAAGTCTTGAATCGCCTGCCGATCCCCCACCTTCAGCTCATGACTTTGACCAAAGTGACTGCTTTACTTGCAGAAGAAGTGAACTTGCTTCTGAGTTCATTGATTCTTCCAGCTTCTTTAAGTTTTTTTCTTTTCATGCACTTTCCCTCACATGTCCCACTTGTTACTTCAGGCCTTCTCTGTACTCCTTCTAGAAGTTCCTTTCTCCCTTCTTCAGCGGGGGCCTAGCCCCCATGTCACCCTCTCCCAGCTGGAAGAATTTCCTTTCTTTGAGTTCTGTAATGCTTGGCTTTTACTTCTGCAGGGGCACTTGCCAAACTCTACACTGAGTTGTCAAATTCGTAAAATGCTTTATCTCCCCACAAGATGATAAACTCAAGCTCTCTCTGAGCTGGGCTTTATGACCCCCTCAGATCCAAACACAGTGCCTTACAGCTTATCTGTGCTCAAAATTATGTGTGAGATGACTGGATATCGTTGGTAGATCAACAGAGGAATATTCTTTCTTGCTTTAAGGTATCTGGTCTGATATTATTTCACTTTTATTCACCAACTTTGTGTTGAGTAAGACTAACACCTTCAAATTTCATCTTTTATCAACATAAATATTTTCAACTCTTGGTGCACAAAAGGAATACAATTAATATATGACCGTTTGTATTAGCATTCTAAAAGACTTTTAAGTTGATAAACATGGTAATAGTTTGGGTTCCAATTGCTCTAGAGAATTCAGTTTAATATTCCATAGTTTTTTCAGCCAACTGATAATTTAAAAAAGGAGCAGATCCTGGTTGGTAAAGAATGTCTTAGCCAAATTGTGGTGCTTTGAATGAAATTATGTGTTAATTGGCAAGAGAGAAAATATTTAAATATCCTTTATGCATTATGTGCAAACAAGATAGTTTTAGACACACAATCATTCCCTCATAGGCTCATTCCACATGTTATTTTTCAAGTGGAATATGATCATCCTTAGAAAGAATTAGTTTCCTGTTTTGATCATGAAGAAACTGCAATATCATGTGAGAATTATTGCTTACCCAGGACATGCTATGGGCAATAGGCCTATTAAAAGGACACATGGCCAGTCACACATAAGCCAGACATAATTATAAAAAAAAATTTTTTAGGACCGGGGATAGCCACTGGAAAAAAATTTAAGTCTTTTTTTTTTTTTTTTTTTGCCTTTTGAAACTATTTTTAAATTAATCCTACAGCTACAGATAGCCTGGCTTTTACATATTATCTGAAGCCGACTCTGATGCCTAAATTAAGGCCCTAACATGCAGCTAGTTTAAAGTGCTGCTAACATTTCCTTCCTAAAATCCTTTCCATGGACTTTTCCCCTGGGATCCACTTGCACTGGGCTACAGTGAAAAGTCTTCACTTAGCAGCATTTCTCCATCATCCTTCATCCTTTTGTTCTCCAGTAAGCCTATCATTTTCTCTGAAGTCTCTCACAGTCATTGTGGGCATGTGGTTGTGTGGGTATGATATCCCAGCCACTCCATGTCTCAAACAATTCCCTCAACTATTTTGCCAAGTGCGACTTCCGTCACATACACTTAAAGTGAACCATTTGGACCTGCCTTGAGATTTGGATCTATGTTGAGGAGAAGTTCTTGTAGCTAATTCCCTATGTCAGATCTAGAAGGACACACGTGCTTAAATATTACCTAAACCAATAGTGATTTCAAATCAGCTCAGATATCATGACTATTTCAAATGTTTCTTTGAGTAAATATGGGAGAAAGACTGGAAAAATATTCTGTTATTAAATGACATTTCAGGGGCTTCCCTGGTGGCGCAGTGGTTGAGAATCCGCCTGCCAATGCAGGGGACACGAGTTCGAGCCCTGGTCTGGGAAGATCCCACATGCCGCAGAGCAACTAGGCCCGTGAGCCACAACTACTGAGCCTGCGCATCTGGAGCCTGTGCTCTGCAACAAGAGAGGCCGCGACAGTGAGAGGCCCGCGCACCGCGATGAAGAGTGGCCCCCGCTTGCCACAACTAGAGAAAGCCCTTGCGCAGAAACGAAGACCCAACACAGCCAAAAATAAATAAATTTATAAAAAAAAAATGACATTGCATTATATTAAATCATCTTACCATTAAAAATGGCAAGACAGCGATGTGGTTACAAAAGGTGAAGTACGTTCTTTAATAAAAGAGGGGGGCAGGGGTAGTAGTTCTTTGCTACTTACCTAGTGTCCTCACATAAATCTCTTTATTTTGATTTTTGATCTCTCAACATCCTTGTAAAGCAGGTGGGAGCGATTATTATTTCCTCTTTGCTGAGCAGAAATCAGTGGTTAAGAGGACTCGAATCGAACTCTTCTGAATTGTTATTCAAAAATCCTTCAACATTACAATTAGATCAGCATTTTTTTCTAATTTGAAAGCATAGGAAATGGGTGTTTTAGAAAAAAATTAATCCTATTTTTGGCTTGGGTTTTTCCTTGTTGTTACTTAGTTGCTTGTTGGTTTGTTTTCTCCTCTTGGAACTCCGTTGGACCTTCCCTTCCTCCTCCCAGACAGGCTGCTGTACTCTTCATGACTCAACAGCACGTGTTAGCAGACATTCATGGAACCCCTAGCCCAGGACGACACTGTGAGCACATGGCAAGCAGGCTGTCCCTGCCCTCTAGGACCAGTAGCACGTGGGGAAGACATGGTGTCCTAAGTGCTTTACCTGCTGCACAAAGGAAGCAAGCACTGTGTTTATGGAAAATTTAAATTTGCAAAGAGCATACTAGCTTTAAGAAAGCTCTAAATCAGATGATTCCTAGTAAAGCAAAGCAGAACACTGAGATAATTTTCTTGACATTGATTGTCAATGATTCTTGAGTGACTGCTTTCCATACCCTCTATGCTATACCTAGTACTAGCCACCGTGGAGCATCGCAGAAAATGGGGGACACTTCTCATCACTGAAGCCTCAGATTAAATGCCACCTCAAATATGCAAGCTCTTTCCTGACCACTTAAATGCATGTGCACCAACCCCCAAGTCACTCACCCTCTATTCTATCTTCATCATAACCCTATCACTATCTAACAATATATTTCATATGTTGTTTCAGTTATTAGCCTTAATTTGGGATTGACAATGGAACATCCAATTGACTAGTCATCAGACAAGAAGGGAAAAAAGCTAGATTAACTTTAATAGAACTTTGTTTATAAAAACTATACATTGCATTATTCTTAACCCAACAGTGCTGTTAAGGTAGACAAATCCCCTGTCTGAGGTAATTTTTTTACCTACGTTAGATAAGAGAAATGGTAGATGGGAAGGATAGGTTGTGTTCATATGGTTAAAGAGGTACTGTCCAAATTTCATAGTGGTGAACAAATTTCATCATTTTCAAGGTGCTATGAAAATTGAACATTAATGTATATAAATAAATATTGTCATACTCCCCAGAAATCAGATGCTTTCACATGATTTTGAAATTTGAAGAGTGAATCTTATGTAGCTGGTAAAACAAATGGAATTCTTCAGTTCAACATTTAAACTTCTGACATTGTAACCGGACTTCTAATTCTATGGTTATGTGTAATCATACACACTCTACTTCAGTGTAAAATGAATCCATTCATTCACTCATTCGACAAAAATTTATAGACTCCATACTAGGTTAGATGCCTGATGTAACAATAGTGAACAAAGCAAAGACCCTGCCCTCATGGAGCTTTCAGTTGAATGGGAAAGAAAGACATTAATAAGGTAAATACCAATAATCATCTACAAATGATGATACCTGATAGAAAAGAAACACGCCAGTTGCTTTGAGAACGTGTAGAAGACAAAGTCACTCGAGTCTGGGTTTGGGAAAGGTCTCCCAGAGGAAGCAACGTTTGAGTTGAAACATGAAACGATCAGTTTTTAACTAGGTGAAGATTCAAATATGGACAGTGGAGACAGAGTGTGTGTGTACCAGAGTGGAAAAATCATGTTCAAAAGAGTTAGGTAAGTTTGCCTTTGCATCTGTTAAGGATTCAGAAAAACACATCTTTTGGAGCACTACATTGACTTTTGCTGCCAAATAGCTAAGTATACTTGGTTTATGATTATTTATAAAGTTATATTTCTAAGCAGTTCACGTGAACAGAATACCATGAAACAAAGGAGTTAGGAAGCACAGAAAGCTGAATGTCTGGATGAACCTTACAAAACTGCTAACCAGGGCTTCCTTGGTGGCGCAGTGGTTGAGAGTCCGCCTGCCATTACAGGGCACACAGGTTCGTGCCCCGGTCCGGGAGGATCCCACGTGCTGCGGAGCTGCTGGGCCCGTGAACCATGGCCGCTGGGCCTGCGCGTCCGGAGCCTGTGCTCCGCAGCGGGAGGGGCCACAACAGTGAGAGGCCCGCATACCAAAAAAACAAACAAACAAACAAAAAAAACTGCTAACCAAATGCTCTTTTCGTGAACTATGTTCCTTTTGCAAATCTCAATGAGGGCTTTCGACAGTTTTCCATTATCATATCTAAATTGTGCATTCTTTTAGGGACAAAAGGGGGAAGGTTAACCAAATTAATAATTTGTTAGCCCACTATCCAAATGTACTTACTGGGTCTGGTTCACTGTACAATTCTGACTTTTGATCACTTGCCAAATAAATAATGGAAAATAAATGCCTTGATCGTTCTGTTACCTTCAACAGTTGTAAATCAAGATGGCCAGCCTCTCATAGAAGGAAAACTTAAAGAGAAGCAAGTCAGATGGAAGTTCATCAAAAGGTGGAAAACCCGCTATTTTACACTGGCTGGAAATCAACTTCTGTTTCAAAAAGGAAAGTCTGTAAGTACCCCTACCATCTTTTACACTTGCATTTTTAAGGTCTTGATCTCTGCCAGCTAGGCATTTTGTCTTGAGTTAAAAGGCCAATAATGTTTTCCTTCTCCATTTTACAGTGTCATTTTATTATATATGCCCCTTTGACTGTCTACTCTGTTCATTCCTGTGTTAGTTGGTTCACTGTACCTCTTCAGTTTATTACGGGAGGGTTTTTTGGTTAACTTAAGTTTTAGAAGACGAACCACAGAAGGTGTACCCGGGGATCTCGACTTGAATACCGTACCTTCTGTTTCCTTGTGGATCACCTAAATAAATGTGTGGCTTATGACATTGACTCTGACTTCTTTTAGGATTGAAGGTTATATTTGGAGGTAGGGACCTGACGAAGGAGACAGTAGGCAGGGAGGAAGAAAAAAAGGCTGATTTATTTTAAGTACTTTTTGTAGTCAACCAAATTCAATTCTGATTAGGGAAAAATATTACTATCTTTCTTTCATTTAATATTCAGTTAATGAATAGAATAGAATTCTGAAAGAATTAATAAATATTCATTTAATATAATTTTCAATCTGAAGTAGGATGCTCAGTAAATATTCATATTCTGAATTTTCAGTGGGAAACTTGTGAAATAATATTCTATTGCAATCAACAATGCAAAGTTATCCCTTTCTTTTCAAATCAGTTTTATTTATCATTAAACTCTACTCATTACAGATCAGGGAGCATGAAATTTTGACCTACTTCTTGACCATTTTGAGATATAATAATAATAACTTATCAGAGCTTATCACATGCCACACTGGATTGCCTCTATCTATCTTCGGAACAGTCCTTTGAGGACAACACTATTGTTATTGCCATTTTATAGATGGAGAAACTGAGGCACAAAGAGACTGATAGGCTTGTCCAAGGTTAGAGCCAGTAAGGTGAGAAAGGGTAAAACTGGAGGTGGCTCAGGCAATGTGACACCAAAGCATGTTCTTAAATGGGTACACTGTCCAGCTTCCCATGTACACTTAAAATACAGGGTCAGAGGCAAACCAAACTGTGTCTGAATTAATTAATGAGAGTGTTAAATTACTTAAAAATTACATTTCACTAAGAGCACATGCACTATATCTTTGGAGTGCTCGTTACAAAATTTATTTGAACTTACTACTCAACAGGAATCAAGTATGGTGTATCTGGATTATGACAAATTCTGATCAACGCTCTTTTAGTTAATAAGACTTCACATTAACTTTTTGAATGAAAAAGAACATTTTGGTGACATCTATTTTGAACTCATGTTACTTTCTTCATCTGTGTGTTTTATAAAATATACAGATGGGCTGAAGGTCTTTTTAAATGGGAAGTATAATGGTGTGTTCAATTCGAAAAGTTATTGGCGGTTTAAGGAAACATTTTTTTAGCATAAGTTCACACTGAAGCATTTTTAAAGTGTTTAAAATGACCATTTGAATTTCCTGTCTTTATTAAAGAAATCAGAATAGAAGTTAAGATGTAGTGATTTTTCAGATCCCTCTTATGCATTAACAAAGTAGAGTTAGTGCATAAGAATGTTTTCCCTGAACTCAAATAATGACCTTTATACTTCTTGATTCGGAGCTTTTTAATAAAGTTTAGAGAATAAGCTATTGTATAATTGGCTAACTTATTTGACATCTTTATCAGGAAATAATGGTTTGACATTCCAGAAATATGACAGAACATTTGGCTCAAATATTAAGAAATAATATAATATAGCATGAAGACCACAGCAAAATCCCTCTCATCCCCAGGGAGACAGTAACCATGCAGTGGTCAGCAGTCCGGCTGAAGCTTCAGCCACATCATAAAGGGATTTTCTTGTAAATGAGGAAAATGTGCATTTTAAAGTAAGAACTAAAAGACTATAGTGTCTTATTTTTCACTTTTTTTTTTTTTTTTTTTTGGCTGCACTGGGTCTTCGTTGCTGTGCACAGGCTTTCTCTAGTTGCGGTGAGCGGGGGCTACTCTTCGTTGCAGTGTGTGGGCTTCTCATTGCAGTGGCTTCTCTTGTTGCAGAGCATGGGCTCTAAGCACGCGGGCTTCAGTAGTTGTGGTGCGTGAGCTTGGTAGTTGTGGCTGAGTAATAGTCCATTGTATATATGTACCACATTTTCCTTATCCATTCATCTGTTGATGGACATTTAGGTTGTTTCCATGTCTTGGCTATTGTGAATAGTGCTGCTATGAACATAGAGTTGCATGTATCTTTATGAATTACAGTTTTGTCCAGATATATGCCCAGGAGTGGGATTGCTGAATCATATGATAATTCTATTTTTAGTTTTCTGAGGAACATCCGTACTGTTTCCACAGTGGCTGCACCAACTTACATTCCCACCAACAGTGTAGGAGGGTTCCCTTTTCTCCACACCCTCTCCAGCATTTTGTTATTTGTAGACTTTTTAATGATGGCCATTCCGACTGGTGTGAGGTGGTACCTTATTACAGTTTTGATTTGCATTTCTCTAATAATTAGCGATGTTGAGCATCTTTCCATGTGCCTATTGGCCATCTGTATTTTTTCTTTGGAGAAATGTCTATTTAGGTCTTCCGCCCATTTTTCCATTGGGTTGTTTGTTTTTTTGTTGTTGAGTTGTATGAGCTGTATGCATATTTTGGAAATTAAGCCCTTGTCAGCTGCATCATTTGCAAATATTTTATCCCATTCTGCAGTTTGTCTTTTCGTTTTGTTTATGGTTTATTTTTCTGTGCAAAAACTTGTAAGTTTGATTAGGTTTCATTTGTTTACTTTGTTTTTACTTCTATTGCCTTGGGAGACTGACCTAAGAAAACATTGGTACTATTTATGTCAGAGAATGTTTTGCCTATGGTCTCTTCTAAGAGGTCTATGGTGTCATGTCTTATGTTTAAGTCTTTACTCAATTTTGAGTTTATTTTTGTGTGTGGTATGAGGGTGTGTTCTAACTTCATTGACTTACATGCAGCTGTCCAACTTTCCCAACACCGCTTTCTGAAGAGACTGTCTTTTTCCCATTGTATATTCTTGCCTCCTTTGTTCAAGATTAATTAACCATAGGTGGGTTTATTTCTGGACTCTCTCTTCTGCTGACATCAGTATTTTGAATTACTCTTTTTGTTTGATGCTCCTGAGATTTTTCCAAGGTGGACAATACACCATAGAAAGTTTAGGACGAGTGAAAAAGATGCCTTTCCACTGCAAAGTGAGAGAAGGGTGATTGTGAAAGGGAGATGGGAAAGGAGGGTAGGCAAGATTCTCAAACACAGGTACATTCTCCAGTGGACAGAATGGGCTCAGGAATATTAAAGACCTGAAATTGCTTTAAAGAAGTATCTGACTCCTTAAAAATATTCATGCTAGCCTATCATGATGACTCTGGTGTTAGAGAGATCCTTAAGCATCTGCTTTAATGCAAAGAAAATGTAACATCATTAAATATTCCTTCCCTTAATGTTTGTGGACAAATCATGCTTCCAAAGCTCAAGAGAGTTTCAAAAACAGTTTCATCGACTTAAACATTGGAACCCTGTTTGTTCAATTAATACCTCTTTCTCAGAGGTAACACAAAAGAAAATTAAATGTCAAGCCTGTAAAATTATCTCAGATTCTGAGTTAATATTACGCCAAATTGTACTGCTGCATTTTGCTCTATTAATACAGTGTTAATGTCAGTAGAAAATGACATAAAGTCAAAGAAATATGAATCAAGCATTTTTCCCAATCCCACTGTATAATAATTTTCTATAAATTGGCTATTTTGTTTCAACCCTAGATAGTACAACAAAAAGCCAGTTGCTCACTCCTTCATTTGCTCTAATGACTCTTTGAGGCTTTAGCACCCAAAATAACAAAGGTCTTAAGCCACATGAAGTGAAAGGATTCTGATCCTCTTAGAAAATTCTCCAGGAGCCAGAGATCTTTCCATGCTGTTGAAAGCTAGCTCATGTTCTTTCCTTCCCATGCATTTCAGAAAGATGATCCTGATGACTCACCAATAGAACTCAGCAAAGTACAGAGTGTGAAAGTTGTGGCCAAGAAACGCAGGGACCGCTCTCTCCCTCGGGCTTTCGAAATCTTCACAGACAATAAAAGCTATGTTTTCAAGGCCAAGGATGAGAAGAATGCAGAAGAGTGGCTCCAGTGCATCAATGTGGCAGTTGCCCAAGCGAAAGAGAGGGAAAGTAGGGAAGTAACCACATATCTGTAGGGATTTGCAAGCCGACCTCACACCAGTTGTATACAATGGGCATTGCACTGTCATTGCCAATGTCAGGAAAAAGAGATAAATTCACCATGTCATGCTGTTTTTTTATTAAATACCAATGGAGCAGTTTTCCCCAAGAATCAGGACCTAAAAGTGGCAAGATCCTGAGTACATTTCAGATCCACATGGCATTTGCATTAACTCCAGAAGAGCTGTGTGAGGCATATGGGAAAAGGAGCTACAGATGGTATGAAGCCAGAAAGGGGAGAGTAGGGATCTAGAAACTTCCATAGACATGTTATTGTACATTGTAAGAAAACAACTTTAAAAGATACCTGAACTACCTATCCTAAGGGAAGATTACGTACTTCTGATGAAAAATAATCTGTCAAAAGTATTAAAAGAAGGGGCTTCCCTGGTGGCGCAGTGGTTGAGAGTCTGCCTGCCGATGCAGGGGACACGGGTTCGAGTCCCGGTCCAGGAAGATCCCACATGCTGTGGAGCGGCTGGGCCCGTGAGCCATGGCCGCTGAGCCTGTGCGTCCGAAGCCTGTGCTCTGCAACAGGAGAGGCCACAACAGTGAGAGCCCCGCGTACCACAAAAAAAAAAAAAAAAAAAAAGTATTAAAAGAAAAAAAAACCTACAAGGAAAAGTCAAATTGATGAACACTGAGGAAAACCATATAACTTACTTACGGAAATATAATTACATTTATCCTCTCCTAATACAAGTGAGGCTAACACTTTGTAAAATGGTTCTCAAGTTAAGCCAATTATGTAATTAAATGTCCTTCAAACTCCTTATTTGATTATTCCTTTTAGGTTCATATAATATGATCTAAAGTTTAGATACTTGGATATTTCTCCTGCCCAAGGCAGTAAGTGTAAGCCAGGGTAAGCACAGAAAACCATTTTCCCATCTTCAAAATATGTGTCATTTCCATTAAACTTTGAGATTTTAAAGTTCTATACGTTTCTTCTTTGTATTCAGCACTTTAATATCTCCAAATTACAAACATTTATTGGTTTTTGCCATTACCCATAATTTAAAAAAAATTAAGCTGTAGTAGGCAGAATTCTAGAATGACTTCCAGTGACCCAAACCCTGGTATAACCTCCTCACCCTGAGTGTGGTGGGACCTATAACTTGCTTCTAACTAATAGAATATGGCAAAAGGGATAGGATAGTCTCTACCATGATTATGTTACATTACGTGGCAAAGATGAAGGAAATTTTCCAGATATAATTAAGGTCCTTAATCAACTGACTTTGAGTTAATTGAGAGGATATGATCCTGGGTGGGCCTGACCTAATCAGTTGAGCCCTTTGAAAGAGGGTGAGCAAGTCAGAGTGTCTCCCACTGGCCTTGAATAAGCTGCCACAAGTTCTACAGCTTCAAGGAAATGAACTTTGCCACAATCAGTGAGCCGCTTGGAAGAGGATCCTGAGCCTCAGATAAAGCCCATTCCCAGCCAACACCTTGACTGCAGCTTTGTGAAACCTTGAGCAGAGGACCCAGCTAAGCCATGCTTGGACTCCTGATCCATGGATACTTTGAGATAATAAACAAGTGCTGTTCTAAGCTGTTAAGTGTGTGGTCATTTGTTACGTAGCAATAGATAACTAATACAAAAGCTTACTTGTAATGCACATACAGGTTAATTTTTTTCTTTGAAATTTATTAAACATAGTCTAGTGTAGAAACGTGGAGAAGGATTATAAGTGGTCAATACCCTGAATTCTACCCTGACTCTACTGCTAACTCACTAGGATAGGAGATATAAAAGAAACCAAGTTTGGGGAAGGAAACAATTCAATTTTAAGTTTTAACATAAAGTTTGAGAGTGTTGTGAATCGTAGAAGTTCTTAGAAGTTGGAAATAGAATTTGGAACGTGAAAATTGGGCCTCATCATATAAATAGATGGTTGCTGAAAATGTGAGATAAGATGGAATTACTCAGGGAGAATAAGACAAAAGAATTTATAAGGGCTTCCTTGGGACACCCAGGATTTAAGCAAGGAGGCTGATTAGTGTTCAGAGATGTTATAAACCAGAGGAAATAATGTCACAAGCACCAAGGTTTTCAAGGAAAAGAGAGAGATCAGCCATGTGAAATCCTGAAGAGTAATCACTTAAGATAAAGAATGACTTTTGCAACCAAGAAGCAGTTGGTGTCATTGGCAAGAACAATTTCATTGGAGTGATGAGGTGAAAGTCAATCTCAGTGGACTGAAGAATCAACAGGAGATTAAGAGTTTAAAGCAATAATTGAACTCTCCTTTCAGTAATGTGGGGCTAAGATGGAGAAAGTGTTTTTTGTTGTTTGCTTTAAGGATGCATTAGACTTAAGGGAAAGAAGTTTAAAACACAGAAAGAAAGAGGAAAAATAACTTTGCTTGAGCAAAGTTTCCGGAAATGAAGGAAAACGATTAAAACTCCTTTTTTCCACAGCAATTTATGGAGCAGCTACCAAGAAAGAGGTACCATGGTTGGCCTGGAGATAGAAAAATAAAAGGTCCAGCTCTTCCCTTCAAGGAGTTAACAGTGTAGTGGAAGAGATGGACATGTACAACAAAAATTGAAATGCTATGTGGCAAGTGCCTTGATGGAAGTATGCACAGGGTCCTGAGGAAACATAAGAGAAGGCACCACTGTAAGTGACTTTGAACTCAGCTTGGGCTCCCTTACTGTTCCCCAGAGGAGTTAGAGAATGAGCTTGTCTTAAAGAACTAGTAGGAGTGTCATGGGCAGACAAGGAGCAAATGGCCAGTAGAGGGAACCGCCTTGCAGAGGTGAAGGAGGAAGAGGGAACATGGTCTACTTGCAAAACAGCAAGTCCTCGCCTGGGATTGGAACATAAGGGACCTGTTGGGAGATGGTGCAGAATGATGCTGGAAAGGCCTGCAGGGTCATAGCATGAAGGGCTTGGTTCCATGCTAAGGATCTTGAATTTTTTCCTTAAGATGGTGAAACATATTGAAAGGTTTTAAGAAGATTTGCATTTAGAGAAATAATTTTGATCATGGTATAGAGAATGGATTGTAGCAGGGAGGTGATTTGGGAGGTTCTTGGAAGGTAGTGAGGACCGATGTAGTAGCAGAGGAGATAGAGGGAAATGGAAATGCAGGGAAAATATTGAACTAATCAAATGGACAGGACACTAGTGGATTGGATGGAGCTGGGGTATAAAAATGGGAAGGAAGGAGTCTCTGATGACTCCAAGGTGCTCTGGGGAAGCTTGATGCATGATGATAGCATTCATTGAGATAGAAAATTCCAAAGCAACAGTTTGAGAGGTGAGACAGGTGGTAAATTTAATTTTAATGTATACATTCAGAGTCTAGATAAGTGATTCACCTTGGACTAAAGGGACATCTCCTTCTATGAAGTTGGGCAGGAAAAGGGTGAGAATACGCATAGTCATAAATAATTCTCTAAATAGTGTTTTTAAATCTGCCAGCTCATTCTTAAGAGTCAGTGAGTAACCCTAGATGGTTTCATCAATTAGGAAAAATTGGTAACAGACAAATAGAAATAGAGTAGTAAGTGACACTATATTATTAATAATTTAAATGCCAGTAATGTGCTCAAACCTTTCACAGAAGAGGGATTACAGTAAAACACCAGTTACTCCCTGATTCTGTTTTCACTGAATGCTTGTCTTAAAAAAAGAAGAGAATGGCCCTATGAACTCAATTTGGAGGAAAAGAATTATTTTTGTGGTTTAATTAACTAGATGCCTCTAGTTTAAAGCACAACTCTCAGAGCCTTTGAACCGGTTCTAAAAAGAAGTAAATACATGAAATGTAAAGACTGATCTTTCTGGTTACATTCCATGATGCAGTAATTCCAAATGCAGGCAGATTTTCCCGAGTTCAGCATCACACTAGGCATTTTAGAATCATTGTCTTCCCACTGATATTTCTGGCACTTGCACCCCTGTGGCCAGCTGGCTTACCACAGATTGGCCTTTCCCAAGGGAGCTGCTGTTGCTGATCCCGACCTACGAAGAAACCACTTTTCTAAACATGTTTAAACCTTTAAATATGTTGGTATGAATACAATTATAATCATAGACAGAAATTCAAGTGGTTTTCATTTTGACTTCATTTTGACTCTTTTTTCCTCCCAGATAGCTGTGGAAACATAAATGTTTATGTGTGAGACTCCCATCTGGTTACTTCTTGAGAACCTGGAGTTTGGTAAAAATAAATATTCAATATTTTTCTAACACTAGGTTTTCTAGAAAATCCTTGGCTGGTGATGTTGAGGGACATTTACTGGGTCATCTTCAGTTTGCCTACTTTAGGGCTTATTTATTATGACTTATTCTTAAACATAAATATAGATTACCTGGTTGAAAAACATTCCCCATTTTAGGAAACAATTCTGAGATGAGGCAAGAGAATATGTGAGATAAATTCAGGGTGCGTTGCAGAGAAGTAAATACCACAGATGCCCCAGTCAGGATTTCTAGTTCCCAAAAGCTAACTAAGTTTTTGGATGAAAAACCCAAGATGTTGTCTTGTTCCAGAATAGCACCAGGGTATAGACCCCTTGGGGGTGGGGAGGTTCCTCCCCAGGGATGCTTCTGAAGGACAAAGGGGTTGGAAAATCAGGGAGAGTTCTCCCCAGGCAGCGGAGTCTGGAGAAAGCAGCACAGGATTTGGGCATGGACACGTGAGGATTCGAGTCCTACTTCTACCCAAACTGAATTACCAACCTGAGAAAATCACTCCTCTCTCATCTCTGGGTTGGGGATAATATTATCTATGGAGTACAACTGTTATGAGGATTAAATGTCATGTAAAAGCCTCCAGCAGAGAACCTTTATCTTAATAGGTGCATGGTAATAACACTCCACTTTTTTATCTACCACTATGGAAAAAAGAAATCCTACCAATGAAATTATGATGCAATACCTTAATAACAGTCCAATGAGTAGTGTTTTACCAAAATGTCTTTTATCTATTCTGAGGGATTTAGCAATTTCTTTCTGACTTTAGGTACTTTGCATGTTATGTGATAGGTAATTCTATAGATTGGTATCTATTTCAGCAACACAGTGAAACATGGCTTTATTACGTGTTGATATCTTCCTTTCTTAGGTAAAACACTTGGTGGTTGCTTTGCATGACCATATGGAACCGTGGTCATTACTCCAATGTTGGCTCTTTGGTTCACTAATGTCACATTTCATCCCAATCCTCTATTTCTGTGCTTTTCTATGTACATGATAAATTTTTGTTTCAAAGTCAAATCATATTATAATTTGTTAAGACATACTAAACAGCAGTTTACATACTAAACATGTAGTGTCAACCATGTACACAATTCAGTTGAAGTTACAACACAAAGAGCTGGGGCCCAGTTCAAGTGATACCTGGTCACAGTCATTCCTGGCGGATGACGATCGCAAAACACCACTGATTGTAAGACACATCCCAATTTCAGAACTGGTAAATTATAGGAGAAAAAATGCA